CACAAAGCCCACCACCAGAGCCTATATCACTCACATTTATAAATCACAGGGGCTTTAATTACCCATATTTATTCTTATTTTGTATACAATCATTTTCATAGGCTTGGAGGGTATGTAGGGACCTTAGAAATTATGTGGTATATCTCTTTTATCTCTAGCTAAACTCTGAGCAGATGACTAGCTGTGCTACATTCACTGATGTGAATGCCGAAGGTCCAGGTCCTGTTCAGTACCACCAGGCAGAAAGTTTTGACTCTTATTCAACACAAATCTCACTGTTTCCAGGAGAAAATGAAATAATAAATTACCATCCTATCTACTACTAATCTTTACAAGTGAAAGCCACTTTTTTGGTTCAGTGGGTATCAGTGTAGGTAAAGTAGGTGTCTGAGCACCTTCACCTGACCATAAATTCTTGGAAATCCAAAAGCTGGGTAAGGTTATGTCAATCTTCTTTTTATCCATTGCTGCAGCTTTATAATTAGAAGCCAGGTTTTCTCATATTATGATTTTATCCTACTGTGATTTTCTGGGTTTTCCCCAGAGAAAAATTTAAGATTTATCCTTGGTATTTACAACATAGAAGAGATTTTGGTCACATGCCCCAAAGCACACTGTTCTTTTCCCTGGTTGCACTTGTTGCACCTGCAAATTCATGCCAATTTTTAATAAATGTCTGTCCTCCCTATTGCAATGTAAGCTCCATGAGGGCAGATTCCAAGTTTGCCGGATCATCAGCTTATTCAAACTATCTAGCATGATATTTGACACACAGAGGCTCTTTATACCTGGAGACCTGGAGAATTGACAGATGCCCTTCAACAAAATCATTCTAGTCCAACACTGCTTTGGGAGGATATAAAAACTGAGTAAAAGTCATTCTTAAAAACGACTTGATGCCCTGGCTGGCATAGCTCAGTGGATTGAGCGCGGGCTGTGAACCAAAGTGTCGCAGGTTCGATTCCCAGTCAGGGTACATGCCTGGGTTGCAGGCCATGACCCCCAGCAACCACACGTTGATGTTTCTGTCTCTCTCTCTTTCTCCCTCCCTTCCCTCTCTAAAAATAAATAAATAAAATCTTTAAAACAAAACAAAAAAAAAAAAAACAAAAAAAAACGACTTGCCCCAGATTGTATAACATGCTCATGACAAAGCCAGGATTAGAATTCTGGATCCTTGATTGCCCATTCACATTCTTGGTCCATTACACCATAAGGTTCTTATACCTCATACCCTGGGCAAGCAACACTGCTGATGAGTAAGGCACAGAAACCTTTGTGCTCTAAACATCATTTGGTTGGCTGCCTGGCTCCCAGTGTTCTTTTTTTTTAAGTTGGAACATAGAAATCCTCCCATACATATGCCTGGTTTATACATACTTTTCTGTTGGACTCCAAGAACAAAACCCTAACTAGAATTCTATAGCCAGAGTGAAAAGCTGATTTATTCACAACTATGAGAGTCAAGTATTACAGAGGCCAAGCCACAGATGCCAGCTGAATTTCCATGGTTCAGCTACTGCAGAATCAAATGTTCTGCTATCCAGAGCTCCATTTAAATGTTATTTTATTTTATTTTATTTTATTTTGGGGTTTCTTTAATGCAAATATTCTAAAATAGAGCTTCTGAGCACATGAAAAAAGTAAACATGAATTTTCAGAGGTGACAAAGGTGATCTAAAATTGGACTATGGTGATGATTGCCTAACTCCATAAATGTGTTATTTTAATCTTTAAATTATACACTTAAAGTGGGTAATTATTATAAATTATACTTCAATAAACCTGTTAAAATAAGTGTGAAAATGAGTCAGAAAGTTAAAGTATTTCTTTTTGTAAACATCTGATATAAAAACTGTAAAGAAATTTTTCAGTATCCCCATACTCTTTTAAGCCCAATTTTTATCTACTTCAACCATGGTTTACCTACATATTCAACAGTTTTTCCTGCAATTTGGGTAAAAATAATTTAGTACACTAGTATAAACATCTTGTGTACACTGAGATACTGAGTTGTTTGATTATCTGCAAGAATGATCAATACATATTTTTGTTTAGTGAGGCATAGTGTTCTAGTCCAAAACCTGTCATCAGCCATTAGACTTTCAGCAAGTTACACATCTCCAGACCTCGGTTTCCCCACCTCTATCATGTGTCCTTATGGGCAAGATTAGAATTAAATAGCCTATAATACAGTAAAAAGAATGATAACTGCTATTATCTAATGAATAGCCACCAATATGCCAGACTGTTTAAATTATCATCCTATGAGGAAGGTATTATTATTAGCTACTTTTCTGCAGATGAGGAGACTGTAATATAGAATTCAATAGTTTGACAAAGTTCATACCTTGTCAAACAAAGTTATTTAGTAGGAGACCCAGGATTTCAATCTAGAGCTGTCCAGCTCCAAAACCTGTACTCATTCTCTATTCCTCACTAAACCTTGGATGTTTTTGATTCTACCAGATGTGGGCATGAATCCTGACCTTGCCTTTACTATGTTAAATTTATCACCTTCTGAGTCCTGTTTCCTAATCTATAAAATGAGATCACTAATATTTAATTCTCGGGGTTGTTGCAAAGATTAAATGAGAAAGGACTTCCCATATAATTAGAAATTATTCAATCGTATTCTTTCTCATCCCTCTCCCATAAAAGCTCCTTCCTGTGTTTAAAAAACTCTATTTAAAAAATCTATAAATTTTATGATTTCCTTGTAGCCTACCTGGATAAACCTCACTGGCACTGAGTTCTATCAAAAGCACTTAAAGGGAACACAAACAACATGGCATTAATCCTTTGCTATCAGTCCTTGGCTCTGTGACGGAGACTGTCAACAAGAGTGTCAACTTCAAGGGGTGGGCATCTGTCCACAGGAACTGAGCAAGCTGAGGTCACAGACTTGTCTCACTCTGCCCTACAAACAGATGTCTGTGTGACAACATTTAGTCACTGCAAACCAGGGTTACAGCCAAAGCCTGGCTCTCACAGACCAGGTGGGAAGTGCTGTATCTCCTTTCTAATCCTCTTAGCTAGCCCGTCCGTTCCCTAAAACAATAACTCACTGACCATAACTCGAAATAACTAGTTTTCCCCCCGGACTCTACTTTGAACATAATGCCTTATTTTGATGATATCTAATTATTCCACAAGCAGCGATTTGTCACCAAGAAACCTGTCTGATTCTGTGCATTGAAATGTGCACCTTCAAATATTTACCTCTCAAGTAACCTGGTGAAAACTGATGTAATGTGGAGCTCTAGTGGTGGCAAGAAAGTAAAGCAGCCATGAGTGAGGGCCAACAAAACAGCCAAGGAGTTTACCCTTTATTATTTATTTGTTTGTTATTGTGAAATCACCACTTATTATTCAATTAACATGTTAAAAAGAAAAACGATCATCCAAGCAAATGTAAGGTAAACTGTAAATATATCTTTCTTCCAGATTACACTTGAGACCTCAACAACTAGTTTATGTCAAACATGATGAAGGAGTTAAATTCAAAACAAAAACAAAAACAGCACAGTTATGTGGTTGTCACTTTTCTACTTTTTTACCCAGTTCACTAAGAATCCTTTTAATTAAACACTGGTTATTTTTCACACAGCTCACAAGTACTGAATAGAAAATGCTGGACTCTAAGTGGTATGACCAGTGAAGTCTTATACCAACTGTTTTGGGAATTTAAATAATCCTTCCAAGCTGATGAGGCTTTTACGAGTTAATCCCTACACTAGAAAAGTGCTTTCCTTGAATTTCTGACTTCTGAGGTCTTTTCCAACTTAAAACAACCAAGAATGAAACCCACAATGTCAAAACAAACATTAACTTATTTCCCTATTACCTAATGTATATGTCTTCTCAATGGAAAGGACTTCATTTACAAAAAATACAGCTCCATTATGGTCAACAATGTAGCAGAACATAAATAGTAAAACTTTTATGATGTACAACTGAGAGTTCACATTTAAAATTTCTAAACATTTAGCTGATTTAGCTGTGTTATCATGAGAAAAAAAACTCAGAATATGAAAAAATACAGGAAGTAGCCTTTCCGTACATAAGTATCTAAGCATCATATTACTGAATGGTACAGAAAATGTAACAGACTCACTCTTCTATAAGTGATGGTAAAAGAAACGGAATGTTCATAAACACATTAACTATTTATCTGAAATAAATATCTTGACTTCTGAGAGTGTTCCATGGCTTTTATCACTTGAATCCACTAGATGTTTTCCAACAGACATATTCCCAGGGCTTCTAAAATTGTTAGGTCTACAGATCCCTAGCCTCAAAGCTAATAAAGGAAAATTTGATGATTACCTAGATGTTTCTTTCTTTGATATCTCTTTTTCACCCTTATACTAATGTGCTGTCATTAATATAATCCCCTAAAACTGCACACCAAAAAAAATGGTAAAAATATAAGAGCTTTTCTTGAGAGGTCATTGAGAATGCAGTAGTTTGCAATGGAAAGCTCAAGATAAAGAGCTACTAATTTCCCTGTGCTATAGGATAGGAGAACCTTTTTGATAGACAAGAATAAAAGCAGGAGAGGAAGTTAAGGTTGTTTACTAACATATGTCAAAAGTAGCAAATGTAAACCTGTACTAATCCAACATTCACCACCAGGAAATTCAGAATGTAACATGTTCTACAGTCCTTTTCACCACAGACAGTAAAATTGAATACAATTGGACAATATTTTCTATCTATGACTCTATGAATTTCACCTTTGTACATCATCTTGCCATATTTTCCTTGGTGATTATCTCTCTTCTTTGCCCTCCATAACAGACTTTGGTTTGCTGCTTAAATATTTGGGGCTTTATTTGCCATTCTTTTGACTGGACTGAGACATGTTGACTTCATTAAAGTAAGTTAGGTCTGCATTCTTTCTTTACTATTATTACAGGTAGACTTGACAGACACAGGACTTTTCTTTTAAAATGCTCTGCTATGGAGCCAACCTTATTAAATAAGTTCCATTTTACCTGCTGGGCAGTTGCATTCTGAAGGTGCTTCTCTTGCGATTCTTATTTTAGCCATATGTTCATAGGATTTCTGCAGGGCAAAAAAGAGATATTAAAAGTCATCAGTAGTATCATAGAGAAATGGGCTCCTTAGGGATTCTCTAGCCATATGCTTGGTTCACCAGCATTTGATAGCCTGCATACTAAAGTTTACATATGTACTTGGACTTTAGTCAAAAGGTAACAGTACCCAAGCCCTAAAAAAAGAAAATGATTATTGACATGATATCAAGACTGCTGGACCTGCATAACATCTTCTGTTGTTCAACTACCACCACCTTCTCCCTCAGCTCAAATATGTGCAATCAATGCAAAAACCTGGTACTAACATGTTGCAGTTCTAGGTTAAGTTATGTATTTTAAAGCATCCCATATTTTATACATGAAGATCAAGTGCCTATCATATTGTGCTGCAACTGCTGCCAAATAGGCTCTTGTGTTGGAAGAGCAAGTTCCAGAAAAATCTCCTAATTCTCATTTAAAGCAGCCCCTGATTTTGATATATAATATAGATTATTTTGAACTCTCAAGTCAAATGGCACTTTTACAAAAAAAAAATTCAGCTACTATATTTTATTTTTAAACATTTAATATGAGAACATTCAATGTATGAAATGACTGGTCCGAAATCACATGGACGGTTATTTTACTTCCAAGAGTGACTACCATATGTTAACCCTATGGTCCTAACCTTCTTAGAACATATGAAGAACATAATGTTATCTCTGCAAGGAATATTCTCCACAAAATTGGGAAAGATTCAGATCAGACTCTGGAAAACTAAAAGAAGATTAAATGCCACCCTTCCCTCATTTAGAGCTCCATATATGTTTAACGTGCAAGCATTCAGAAGAGTAAGGGAAGATGATACACACAGAGAGGATCATATCAAAGGAGGTGCACATACAAATATATTCTACACTGAGATGGTCGCCTAGCATATGCACACACAGCCACACCAAGTATGCGGACAGTAAGGGTAGAGGTTGATCATATACACAGAATCACGCGTGTGCCAGATGTTATCCACGAGCAAAATACCCCAGCCTTTCACACCTGAGCCAGAAGTCGCTCCACTTTCTCTTGCACCATTGCATTCAGCTGATCCACGCAATCAGGAAGCAGACGGATGGAAGGATCCCCTTTGGCGGATTCGAGAGCGGCGATCCTCGCCTGGAGGTCGTTGGTTTTCACCCCCAGGTACAGACAAGACAACACGGCCACCACTGATAGGAGGGCCGCCAGGACCGCGCACGAGGGTACGGTCCTGGCACAACGCTGCCCAGCGGGGCTTGGGTCCTCCGATCCCGACTCCCGGGCCCCTCCTTTCGCTGCAGGCTTCTTCAGCAGCATCGTGGCGGGGTCGGCTGCCTCCCACCCTGTACCACTTCCAATAATCTTAAAAGGAAAGAAAAAGGACGTTTCCTTCAAAGTTAAATCAGCGTGGCTGTACAACTAGTTGGTGTAGTGGGAGCAGGGGCGCGAGGAGGTGGACCCCCACTCTCCTCAGCGCCGAGACCAGCAGTTGCGGACCGTCAGTCCTTTGCCTTCTTCTCCCTTCCCAGCCGGGGGAGAAGAGCACTCTCAGTCTAGGGACTGGTGGCAACGAGGTGAAAACCGGAATGAAACCCACCAGGGTGGCCCTGCTGGCCCCTAAAGGACAGACACCTAGTCCGAGGTCAGGGAACAGTGGGCGAGGGCTGCGGTGTCTGCCGCTCCCCTCGCCCCGCAACGGGGACCTGTTGCGTTTCTGTTAGTTCCCCTGATTTCTATCTAGTCCGTGTTTCTCCGCACGCCAACTGTTTCCCACCTGGACTCAGTTCCAGGCAAAAAGGCTGAGAGCAGTGGTGGGAGACCCGCGGCAGGAGCGCAGGGCAAAAAGCGTAGCGGAGGGTCAAAGAACAGAGGAAACGAAATGGCCCAGGAGGGGCAAAAGCGAACGGCAAAGCCCAACTCGCGGCAGCCCCAAGGATCTCCGCAGCCTTGCGCGTGCGAGCCTTAAATACACTTCGAGATGCTTGTGTGTGAGTGTGTGTGAGAGTGCGCGCGCGCCCGGAGCCGACGTCCCACCCCCGCCCCCGCCCACTCTCGGTGTGGGCTGGGTCTGCGCCCCCCGGCAGCGCGCCCCCTCCCTTGCCAGGCCCAGGCCTGCCTCATTATCCTAAGATATTCACCTTCGCCTAGCCCGCTAGGCCTCCAAGGGGGCGGGGAAGCTAAGCCGGGAGGTTCATTAGCATAAGATATGCAACTCCTGGAGCGGCCACAGTGATTGGAGATGAGCTTGATGACCCCTCCCCCTCCTCCAAGTTACTTTAGCGTCCCGAGGGCCACTTCTCCCGCCTAGGCCAGGGGCTGAACCAGGGGCTGAACCATGGTCTGCCCGAAGGCCAGGCTGCGACAGTGGCTTAGACTGTCTTTACCCAGTGCTCCCTTTTTATTACGGTTAAATCTAGAGAAATGGCCTCCAGGCGGGAAGAAGTGGAGCAGAAGGCTCCAGCTCTCCAGATCTTCACTCAAAAGCAGCAGCGGAAGCTCTTGGGGTCTCGCTCTGGGCAGCCTTTTTCCCTCCTCCCTCACTTTTCCCACATGCCCAGAGGCAAAGTGTCTGGCTGACGCCCGAGGTACATTTCCCCACTTCCCTTCTCTTCCCATGGCCCTGCAGATTCTCCACCTAAAGAAGTTTTTTTTCCCCCTCCCCCAGTTTCCTTAGGTCTTGACGGGCCGAGTCGCCTCCCTGCTTTGTGTTCCTAGTCTGTGCTAGGGTGCTAATGCGTTTTCCTGATTCCCTGGTTTGTGGGATTGAAAAAGGCAGCGTTGAGGTGCACATTTCTCAGCATTTAGAAAAGGACTGAAGAATGAGGTCAATTTTTCCTCTTACCTGACTCTACTCATGCTGCTCCCTCTGGATCAAATTACAAGTTCTTTAATGGGATTTTTGAAAGTAGGTAACAAATAGAATTCTACATCTAACTGACTTTGAAAAAAATAAATCCCACCTCTTACTCCAAAGAGTTTCTTATCACCTCCTCCCCAGGAAAAAAAAAAATACCAAAAATTTTTCCTATTCTTAATCAAGCTATGTAAACAATCAACACAATACTGCAATAGGCTGATCTTTCAAATACATAAATGAATATTACTAGGTACCAAGAGAACAAGGATGTTTCAGAAACATCTGTTGATGGAAAGTATAGGAATGAAAAAAAGATTAGAGGATGAAATAGCCACAACATTGGAGGAAACAGTGAATTTTGCTGTAAAATCAAAAGCATAATGTCTTACATTTGTTTTACACAGTAGTTCTCTAAGGGTGGTCCCAAGACCAGCAATATCAGCATCAGAGTCTCTGTGCAAAATTCAAATTCAGTAGAATCTAAAATTACTGCTATTATTAAATCAGAAACATGGCAATCTGTGTGTTTGCCAAGTCTTCTTAATGATTTTGATACGTATTCATGTACCACTGGTGTATAACACTTTACAAAATATTTTCAAATACATTTTTTTTTACTTCAGCCCCGTAACCCTGTGATGCAAATAAGAAATTATTGGTCCCATTTTACATATAAGGTAACAATTTTCAAGTCACATTTAATTGTGATTAAACATGTTTCCAATAATAGCACCCAAGGAATGGGTACAAATTTTTAGAATATGTCAACTCTTTCTGAATTATGAATTACCTCTCTAACCATTCCTTAGTCTCCTTTGCAGGCTTTTCCTCTCCCTGTCCTCTAAATGTTGGTGTTCCTCAGTTCTCTATCTTATGCCATCTTCTCTTTTCCAGTAGTGTTCTCAATTACCATCCTTACACTGATGAGTCATAAATCCAAACTACAAGCCCAAATCTCTCCTCAGCCTAAGACCCATATAGCCAATTGCATGTCAGCCACTTCCAGTTGGATGACCCATAAGCAATTCCAACTTAACCTATATCTTACCTACAAACCCTGCTCTTCTTTTTTTGTTTCCCTCCACAGTAAATGGAGCTTACCCACATCCAGTGTCCCCAAGCCAAAATACCCAGTGATAACCCTGGACTTCTTCCTAGCCCTCCTCATCTACCCAAAGTCCTTGGATATGTCCTGTTATCCTTAGTGCAGAATTGTATATATCCTGCAAGTTACCACATGATGTCTGTCATCTTTCTCATTGTTCATCTTTTTCCTCACCCTCTCCATGCCAGTTTCTCTAATCAAAGTATGGAGACAAAAAGAATGAAGAACTTTTGGGATGAGGCAAGATCTTTCTCTTAAAATTTCTGTAGAAAGGCCTTTTTCTGTGCTGGCTGATGCTGACAGTAAGTCACACATTTAATTTGATGATGCAATGTTTTTATATTATTCTTTGGGGAAATTGGCATGAGCAGGCACATTAACAACTCTTACAAGCTCTCAGAACTGTCAGATCTTAGTGGAGAGACAGAATTGGAATTTTGTATATTCAACATCTTCAGCCAGAAGACTGATTTTGATTTATATGATTAGTAGGCACAATAGCCAAGAGATTTCAAAACCCAGGGGATTCCCTGCATCAAGTACAGAGAATGCATGAACCAGGAAGGCTCTGGGCATTTGAACTCATGCTGATCTGTAGATTCATTAAACTACAGTTGTTCATTCTTGCAAGGAGGATTCAAAAAAGTTAAAATAGCAGTAAAAATGGTGCAGTCCAGCCAACTTCAGTTTACCTAAGACTGATATCAATAGTAGTAAAAGCAAGCAGCTGGTTGTAGAAAAGTTATGTGATTAGAAGAATGGCCCCCCCAAAGATGTTCACAGTCAAATCCCCAAAATCTATAAGGGGGGGCCTTAATTGACAGATGTAATAAGTGAAGGATTTTGAGATGGGGAGATTTTCTTCAATTATGTAGGTGGGTCCTATGTAACCATGGGGCCCTTGTAAGAGTCTCATAGTCTTAAAGAGCTGTAATGACATCTCTCTGAAGTCAGAATGATGTTAATATTCGCTTTAAAAATGGAAGCCAAGGAATAGGGGCAGAGTAGAAGCTAACAAAGTCGAGGAACAAGTTCTCCCCTAGAGCCTCCAGAAGGAATACAGCCTTACCAACTCTTTGATTTTACAGCTTCTGACCATCAGAACTGTAATTAATAAGTTTGTGTTGTTTAAGTCATTGAGTTTTTGGTAATTTCTTATAACAGCAATGGGAAACTAATAAAATCACAGTCACAAGAAATCGGTTTTCATCTGCTACAGCATTGTAAGTTGTATTTTAACCACCATAACAACCTGTAACTCCAGCAGGCCCTGCCATAACAATCCCTGTCTCTCACGTGTTTTCGCATTCCTATTTTACTGACATGCCCAGTGGGAAAGAATTGGAAAGATATGCCTTCCCCCTTGTCATGTAAAATTAGGATGCCCTCTACTGAGGCATATTAAACTGAATAAAATATGTTCTATTTCTCTGATGTCTCCCATTGGTGCAACTCAAAAACAATAAACCAGTCAAACTGTGCAGCCTCTCTCCCCTCTCCTCCCTGCTCACGCTGGCCCGGCCGGGATCCTGACCTGCAGGGACTGCAGGCACTACTGTGACCAGTCTCCAAGACCCAGGAAAAAGGAGATAAACAAAGACATCTGACAGAGAGACATGGCAAGAAGTTAAAGTGAGAAAGGAGGTGACTGTGAGAAAAGCAAGACAGAGAAAGAAATGAAGGTCAAAGAAGAGCTTTTTAAGTAAGTAGAAGTGATCATTTTTTTAAAAGACACAGTTCACACCTGTATCTAAGAGGCTGAGCCATAGAAGAAATATAGCATAGAGGTAAACTAACACACACTTAACATTTTGATGTCATATGTGTATTTTAAAAGATTTTCTGACCCCAGTAAGTAACTGGGATAATCATATTATACTGTGTTTAGATATTAAGTACATGACAGAAAAAATATTTCAGTTTGGTTAGAAAATATCATTTTGCACTAACAATTTTTGAGGCTGATTCATTTCCTTAAACCACACTTTTAACCAGCATTCACCACCAAAGTTATCAAACAGAAACAAATGTCTAAGGGGATTTGTAGCTATCTTTATACACACAACCAGCTGCTGTGTCCAGTAAGTACCTTAATAAAGGAAACAATGGCCCTGGCCTGGTAGCTCCACTGGTCGGAGCATTGTCCCCCGCACCAAAGGGTTGAGGGGTTGATTCCCAGTTAGGACACATGCCTAGATTGAGGGTTCAATCCCAGTCCAGCCCCATACACAAAGCATTTCTCTCTCTTCGTCTCTCTCTCTCTCTCTCTCTCTCTCTCTCTGTCTCTCTCTCTCTTTCTCTCTCTCTCTCTCTCTCTCTTCCTCTTTCTCTAAAACCAATAAACATACCCTTGGGGGAGGATTTAAAAATAAAAATAAGAATATAAAATAAAACAAATTTTTTTCAAAAGGAAAATAATAGAATGAATTCTGTGCTGTATTGAGCATGCTATTTCATAAGCTTCAGATGGAAATATGCTCTCAGAGAAACAGCTTTTAAGAAGATAAAGCTTCCCAAATAGAATGAAGTAGGCAGTGAAGTGAACTTAAAAGATGCAGTTCTCCCACAGGCAGGCAAATTTCAATAAATCACAAAAATATATAAAT